CATCATCATCATCATCATCATCATCATCATCATCATCATCATCATCATCATCACTGCCGTCGTCGTCGTCGTCGTCGTCGTCATATAATCATTGCAGTCTTTAATTTAAATTCTTTAGTTAAAAAGATTTTTCTCCAACACATTACTGTTCCTAGTTTCTTGCTAATATCACTCAATTTATTTCCTGGCCGTCCTCCTTTTTGTACCATCATTTCTTTCCAACATAAATTGATAAATCTTGCCTGCTTACTGTGGGCAAACAAAAGTTCTGACCACTGCACCTGCATATGTCTTTTACCGTTTCGCCTAATGCTGAAGACATCATAGTTTGAGTAAGCGTTTAGAGACACTTACAACACCAATAGGCGAGATAAGTGCTAACGGTTAGAGGTGTTACAAGAGCGTAAAATACAAAAACTAAAACAAACCCAGAAAAAAACCAAAGAGAAGAGAGATAATGATGATAGATAGTTAATAGGAAAAACCACACTAGAGCACACGCCAGCCACCCACAAGACATCTACTCTGAGGCTCTGATCTTCCTTCTGGGAAAGCCGGTGGTGGTCAGCGGTGCGAGATAAAGCTGTTTCAGAGCTGAGCGAACAACCAGCCCTTCACCGCAACACCCCACAGCTTTCTTGCCCCCTTTTGAGCTAACAGAGCCTCATTTATAAAGGAAAACATCAAAGGTTAATAAACATCATGGCAGGTTAATCGCGTAAGGGCGGGAAAGCGCATTATCAGATTATGTAATAATAGGAGCCACACTTTCTCGCATTATGACACGACCGCAAATCCTGATTACGTCATATCCCATGTGCGCAAGTGAGCAAGCCGAGAGGATGAGAGTGTGGGTTGACTGTGACGACGTGACTGTATCAGAATGTGGCGAACATCGCTGAGCATGAGCAAAACATGCTCCAGAAATAATTTATAAATCTATTTCTAGGTTGTATCTGGAATTGATAAGTCGTGCGGAAAATGTCAGTTCTTTGTCATCGCTGTACGAAGCCGACGATTATAGCTGGCGACCTTTCTCTGAGTGGATACACCGCAAGTGGCGGTCTTTATTCCCCACTGAGAGAGAGAGAGAGAGAG